CTGGGGGTTGGGGACGCCTGCCTTATGGCCTTTAGATGTGCTGCCCCACAGGTCATGGGATGTGAGACACTATTCTTGAATTTGAGCTTTAAAGATCAGTTGGGAATGTTGCTGTTGTACCAGCCTCCCTACTGCACAGCAACCCGCTTGCCTGAGCAACATGAGACTGTTTTTGCTTTGGTGGTGGAGTTCCCTAGAATTTATGCTCTTGGGGGATTTCAATCTGCCATCTCTAGAATTAGGATCTGAGATGGCTTGGCAGTTCCTCCTGGACTCACGACTCCTGGTTGAAGAGTAAGAGGGAGTTGCCACTGAGAAGGCTTTTGCGCAGCTTCATATTGTGTACCAGTTACACCATTCCAAACTGGAGGGGGGGTTTCACAGTTACTCATGCCAGAGTCACCTCCCAATTGGATGAGTGCAAAGTGTTTTGTTCCTGGGGCTGCCCTTGAAAAGTACCTGCAAGCTTCAGCTGGTGCAAAATACAGTAGTACAGGCAATTATCTATGCTTCTAAAATAGCACATTACCCTTCTGCTCGGCAAGTCGCATAGGTGTACAATTAAATAAACAGTTAAAAGTAAGCCATCGTAAAAATATATTTTTATTAGAACAAATTCTGCTGAGGTCATTTGGCAATCAAGGGAATAATATCAGATGGAAACCCAAATTCCCCTGGCCCAAAGCCATATATCTTTAAGGCCTTCAGAAAGGCAGGCAGGATTGAAGCAGCTTAGATCCTGAGGGGAATGATTTTTCATAGGCAGGCAAAATGACAGAGAAGCCAGGTCTCCTGACTCCTGCAAGATGACATTGCTTAAGAGATGGGACCTGGAGCGCCCTGACCTTGTCAGATTTTATTGGATGGGCAAAAATGATTTGAGATAGGCAGTCCTGCAAATAACATGGTTCTTGTAAACTAGCTACTTCAATATAATTCCGATTTAATCATTTGCATCCGTATTTATTTTATTTTAAATATTTTTAGCCTGCCCACTATCCAGCAGATCTCTTCTGTAAACACTTTCAGTTATTCAGTACACACTGGGGAAATCCTATTGTAATCCTTTTCTTACATGGGAGAAAGTACAACTGAAATCAATAGAGGAAATGTTACAGTAAACAAATCATGATACCAGTGTGGTTGCTGGCCTGCAAAAGATTGGTTAGTATTTAAAAAAAAAAAAAAAAACAGCATTAGTTGCTATACATTTAGAGAAAGTGGGAGTTCGGAGTTTTCTGGGAACATTTTTTCCAGAAAATTAAAATGATGATTAAAAATCATATATACAAAGATAAAATGTAGCTTTTCCCAACCTAAATAAAATCTGGGACCTTCTTTCAGACATATTGGGACACAACTTGACCATATTGGATGGGAATTATGGGAGTCAAAGCCCAACACATCTGGAAAGCATTGAAGTAGGGAGGACTGTTCTATATGGTTATAACTTACAGTGTGTTTTGCCTGTGTCTCTTTTATTCATTTATTGATTATACTTTGATTGATTGTACCAATAATTTACTGAACTCTTCCTTTATACATTGAAGATTAATTGCCTGACAATTATACTATTCTTATGTATTTGTGTGTGCCTAGCTAAATTGCAAATTTATTTGTGTATGTATGTATTGAACCTAATGTGTTAAAATAAGAATACACATTAAAACTGTCTCAGTCCATGACTGCACTTTCTGAGAATAGGCAGCTACCTATGCAGTTTTATATAGCACACCCACCCAGATGTGCTGGGTTACAACTCACATCATTTATAGCCAACAGAGAAGATATCTTCTTGGAAAAATCTTACAGAGCACAGTTATGTCACTTCTAATGATGCCTTGGGGACACCATGTAACCAATGATACCTTGGGGGCGCTATGTCAGTCATTTGTCAGAGTATAAACTAAAACATTTCAGTTAGCTACTGGAGCTATATGACTGTTGTGTGTTTTTATTAAAACATCTTTGTGCCACAGGTTTTTATGAGTCTGTGCACTGGCTCATATAGGTGTGCATACATTCATTTTTTCTGTTTTTGAATGCCATTTGCTCCTGACTTATCCATATATGCCAATTAGTTCATTACTACAATATCATAGAATTAAAGGGTTAGAGGGGAGGTCTGCTGATCCAGCCCTGCCCATTTGTCATCCCCAATGCTATCTGACCTTTGCTTGAAAACCTCCAGTGTCCCACGACTCTAGGAAGGAGGCTGTTCTCTTGCTTGATACTGTAACTCTTACAGTCAGGAAATTCCTCATTTTGAGTAAGAATTTCCCTCTTAAAGCTTGTCCTACCCTTAGGTACTATGGAGAATAAATCCACATCTTGTTCCCTGTGACAGCCCCTCAAATATTGGAAAAATGCTTTTCTGTTCTCCTTATTTTACTTGGACTCAACAGCAGCGGGGGATGGCTCCTGCAAATAGACCATCTACATGGCCACATAGCTTGTTAAACATCTTAAAACCCTGTGGGGAATCAGTTCAGACATGCTGGCTTGAATTCACACCATACATTAAACCTGAAATCCAGATTAACAAACTGTAATTACTGGACTCACTTAAAATACTCACTTAATTTCAAAACAAATTAAAATGCATAGAATAGAATAGAATAGAATAGAATAGAATAGAATAGAATAGAATAGAATAATGTTATTGTCACTTTAAATGAACATTAATCAGCATACATTAAAATGAGATTTCGTTGCATACAGCTCTCAAAGGATAATCACTTCCAATATACGCTTCATAAACATGACAAAAATAAAATAAAATTATGCAAATACCCACATACACACACATATATGGCCCACAGAAACAACACAATCATGCAACATTCCTGGAGAATGGAGGGATTCTTATGACTTGCAGAACTACAGACTTTAACCTTCTTCTGCAGAAGCAGAAATGTAGGATGCTGCTGTCATGGAACAAAACCCAGGATTTTTAATCTATGTTATGCTAAATAAGCCATCATGACCCGATTCATCCATAATGTACCATAACTGAGAGCCAGTTTTGTGTAATGGCAAACGAGATTGTGAGTCCTAGTCCCATGAAGGCCAGCTGGGTCGCTTTGGGCCAGTCTGTCTCTCTCAACCCACCTCACAGGGTTGTTGTGGGGAAAATAGGAAGCAAGTGTTTTAGGGGCAATATGTTTGCTGTCTAGAGTTGAGTAGATAGATAGCATCTAATAATAACTGTTAACATTTACTTACTGATCAAGGCAAGCCACTTTAAATGAGTCCCACTTTGGCTTAGCGCACATCTGTGAACCGAAGGAGTAATGACTTGTTCATCCTGTGAAAGGATTTGAAAGGCACATCATATCTCAAAGACATGAATGGATTAGATTACATAATGAAGGGAGTCTCCCTTACTGTCAGAGACTAGATTGTTTAGGTTGCACCCTCCTTGTGATCACAGCTTCTTGCTAACCAGATAGGTCAGTGGTGGCGAACCTATGGCATGCGTGCCAGAGACGGCATTCAGAGCCTTCTCTGTGGGCACACGTGCCGTCACCCCAGCCCCGCCTCCTCTTGTGGCCCCCTCCTCACCAGCAGCCCCCCTGGAGGAGAGTCACCCCCGGGTGCAGCCCGTGCAGAGCAGTGCAGCCAAGGACATGCCAGCCGGGCATCAGGGACAAGACTCCACCCTCGCACCCCCTTGTGCACAGTTGATGCTGAGGGGCACAGGTGGAGGACGTAGTCGCCATGGTGCTGCTGGGCCGCCTGGGTGATCTGCAGTGGGTCGTGGAGGTGGTGAGTGGCCCTGCAGGTGGATGGGGCAGAGGGTGAGGGGGGCAGAGCAGGGGTGGGGAGGGGCGGAGCAGGTGGGAGGGGGAGGGGCTGGTTTTGGAGCACTCGGTCTCTAAAAGGTTCACCATCACTGAGATAGGTTATAAAGAGTTGTTAGCAATATCTTTAGGCCAAAGACTGGTCAATAATAAGGTTGACCACACTTGCCCGGTTACCTAAGATACAATTCTGATCACACCCAATGGCGGGTCACTTGACCTCTCCTCTCCTCTCGTCTTTGTGGCAGGACTGAATTGGCTTAAGGAGGAAAAATTGTCTTCGGGAAGATGAAGGACTGGCCATAAAAAAAAATTAAAAAAAAGCTTACATTGAGGGCTGGGGACAAGGATATGAATAAGAGGGTTGGCAAGACGGAGGGAAACTGTTTGAGAAAAGCGCCACACACTTTCCAGATAAAATATTTGCAGCAGAAATAATAGTGGTTGCCTTGTGTCCCTTTTAATATATTATATATATTATACACACACACACACACACACACATATAAACGAAGACAATTCTCAGGTGGTCAAAACTAAAGGGAGAGTGCTTCTGAGCATATGCAGCATGCCCCCTTCCCTCCTCCTCCGCCGTGGGTACCCCCCCCCGGCTCTCTTCCTTCCCACCCGCACTAGTGGGAGATATAAAGACGAAGGCATTTTTCAGGTATGAAAGAGGGCGTGTTAAGCCTTCCGAGAGGAGGAGGGGGGAGGGAGGGAGAGGGGCTGAGTCTCGACCCTCCGCTTTTCTTTCCCTCGCGCGATCGCTTCCTTTGAACGAAGGGAGCCCCCCTCCCCTCTCCTTCCCCGTCCGCCAAGCACACCCCGGTACAGCACGGCCGTATGCGGATCTCCTTCCAAGCCGCCGAAGGGTTAAAAGGCAGACGGCGGGGAGACTACCGCGCGCGCGCTCTCTCTCACACATACACACACTCACACACACCGAGACACCACACACCGTACGCGGGAGGTGTGCAGCCGACAGCTACGCTACGCTCCAGCCGGCCCTCTGCGCGCCTGTGTTTGTGAGAAAGCGGGAGACATAACACAGACAGGCAGGCAGGCAGGCAGGCAGGCAGCGCGGCGAGGGGAATGAGGAGCCGTGTAGGGGCAGGACGCGAGGAGGTAAACAAACAATAACCGCACCCCCCTCCCTCCCTCCTTCCCCCCCCGCCCGTCCGTCCGTCGCCTTCAGTCTCCGGCCGCCTGTATGCTCGCCTCTCCGACCCCCCGCCTCGTTTCGTTTGCCTGATCGACACCCCCGGGGAAGGGTGGATTTTCTTCGGCCGGAGAGCCCACCCCTGCGCCCTCAAGATGAGGTCGAAGAAAGCTCCCTTCCCCGATGGGAGATGGGGTCGGCGCTGGGAGTGAAGATTCTCGGCCGCCCCGGCTACACACATCTCTTCTTTTTCTCCTGCCCAGCCGAGATCTGTATGGCAGGGGGAAAAAATAAAAACTCAACTCGCTTTATCCAGAGGAGAAAATCGGTGCCGTCTTGGGGGAAGAAGCAAATGGTAAGGAATCCTGCCCGGGATTTGGGCAGAGAGAGCGGAGAGATTTGGACAGGAAGGGTGGCTGCTTCTATTGTAGTTTCCAGCCCTCCCACCTTAAAAGTTTGCAAGGGGGGAATGAAAACCACTTACCATCCATTGAGGCTGGGGAGTGAGGAGGTGCATTTTAGCCCTGGGCCGGTCCTAAATCTTTGCCCTGGGAGCTGGGAAGTGAGGGGGGAGAGAGAGATTGAAGCTACACAAAGGGGGCAGGATTAGGCTGGGGAACCTTTGGCCTCCATGGGAATTTGCTAGCTTTGAGTCAAGCTTTGAAGGAATGTAGGGTGAGGGGAGGGTCAGGGAACAGGAAAGGGTTTGGGTTAAGAGCCTGTCCTTAATTTTAAAACAGGTAATCAGGGTTATGCTTGCTGTAGTTCTGTAAAGTACCTTCCCCCCCCCCCCAATCCCCTCATGTCGTTCCCATTTTACAGATGAGACCTTGGGCAAAGAAAGACAGGAATTTGCTGGGCACCTCTGGGATCCATAGCAAGATTGTGGCCCAGAAAGGCCTATTTCAATGCAGCCCTGAGCATAAGGGAACATCCAGAAGGTGGGAAAGGGGCAGGATATAGACTCAGCTGGAGGAAGTATTTAACTTTTCCTTCCAAACTGTGCTCCAGCACCATTCCAGTCTTTTGCAGGGCAGACCAACAGACCTGTCTGGATCACACTTCCCAATGGCCTTTGTAGGAGATGTTTGTGAGCTTCTGAATGGATATAATTTAAGGGCAGGATGGCTCTATTTACCCACAGGGAAGGACCTCCAAAGAACAGAGGATTTACCCCCTGGAATCAACAGAGGGCAGAGACTTCATTAGAGACAGATGTATGACATTTTGGGTGACTTTGAGGGTTCTCTAAATAGATTCTGTAGGTAACCTCTTTCTCTGCCTCCACCTGTACAGAGCCAAGAGGTGGTGGCTGCAGCTTGGTTTGGGCTAATAGCTCTCTGGCATGAGCTATCCTTGAACCCCAGAGCTTGAGTGAGAAAGCATGCCATAAATAGCTTTTCACTGTCACTTGGAAACAACTGTATTTCAATGCTGGGGGAAGGAAACCCCACCAATAAATGTTCACACTCCCCTTACCCGAGATGTGTTTACCTTTTGGAAGTCTTTTGGTGTTATTTGGGAGAGAAATTCTCTTTAGGAACAAACTTTAATGAGCAGTGCAGTTTGTTTGCTGGAGGCAGTGACTCTGAATGTGTTCCTGTCTTCATGGCCTTATGCACGATACTGATTGTGCATACTATTTTACTTACTTCAAATTATCTTAGGGGGAAGCTCTTTTGATAATTACAGGTATTAACTTTATTTATTTCAAAATAAATGGTCCATGTGCTGTGTTTGGGAGATACTGTGTTTGGGAGACTGTTCTATCCATTTTGCTGTGAAGACCCTTGAGCATCTGTCCCAAAGGAATTGCCACTGACTCTGGTGCCAAATCTGTGACACACACATACACAGACAGACAAAACCCATCTCCTATCGCAGGATAAACAGGAACCAATTAAACACTGAATGAGTGAAACGAAACAGAAAAAGGTAGGAAAGGCATTCAAGCCTGATCAGGGGCAAAACAATGGGACATTGTTGGTCCAAAGCTTACATATCAGAAGGGTGAAAAGCCTAGTTGAAAAGGAGGACTCCTTGTCTTTGCTTCCTGTTAGTCTGATGACTAGCAGGATTAATGTTGTCACTGCTGGGAAGGCAAACTTCTGAGATCTCTTTCTAATCGCAATAGCTGGCCCAATGCAGGCAAATAAAGGAATAAACTCTTGCTAGACTGACCTAGTTTGGTGTATCCTCCCCACTCTTTCTTGTACTCTCCCAAGTGGCTTAACCAGAAGAAGCAGTGAGAACTGGGAAGCAAACATCAGAGCAATTGCTTCACCCTATTGTATCAAATCAAACCAAGAAACTTGAGCATTTGCAGAAGGACCAATATATTGTATATAACTGGAGTCCCCAGCTGAGAAGGATCTGTAACCCAAAACAGGTTCTCCAGGGTCCAGAAGGGGATTAGAAGCAGTGATGTTGTCAGACTTTCAGCAGAAATATAGGTTCTGCTCCATATAATATGTGAGGTTCCAGCAGGACTGCCTGATCTCTTAGAAACGAGACATTCTACTGTATTAAAAAATTGGGGGGGGGGAATCTATAAGGTCTTCAGATTTATATAATCATTTTATGATTTCCTTCATAAATTTATTAACTGTCTCACTGGAAGGGATTTCAAATCAGGAGGTCCAAATTGAAAAAAAGCAGTTGGTCTGTTTTTGCCACAATAGCCAATGTATGCCACAATAGCCAATTTACAGGACTGCTCCGTTCCTCTAAAGAAGTCAGAGAAGGAAGAAGTAATTTACAACAGTTTAGTAACTATTTGATATGTATGTGCTTTGGGGGGAGTGCTGTGCATTTGGGATAGGGTCCAAATCAAAGGATGCTGCAGTCAACCTGCCATCTGGCACCTTGAACTTATTGGCTGAAAGTAAATTAACAGGGAATTTTAAAAGTGTAACTGTAACAGAAAGAGCAAGATGAATTGAACAGGGAATATCCATACAATTACATTGGTGATTTTTGTTTCTTGCAAGAGGGGAAGAATGTCATAGGAATCAGGTATCTGACATTCTCTTCAGTGTTCACACGCTGATCTGTGTGGTAGTATTGTGTGACACATTGTAATTTTTCTGCTAAGTGGAGATTTCCAAGATCCACATTCCTTCATCCACCCTTCTCTTCTTTTCCCTTTCCAAGGTCTCCTGAGTTACAAGAGGGCTGGATGGGGCTGGGAGCCAGGAATCCTGGGCTCTTAAAAGAGAAAGGAGACCTGGCTGTGGAGTAGATTAGAACTGGACTTTTGCCTTGCTGTGAGAAAGGATTTAAAGAGTTAAGCCCTCCAACTCTTGTCAGCAGGGAGCTTAGCCCAGCTCAGTCCAGCTCCTGGGAGGGCCCAAGGCAAATTATCCTAGAAGGGTCAGGTGCTTCTCTTTCTCCTGCCAACTTCCTAATCCCCACCTTCCGTGGAGAGAGAAAGGAATGGGAAGCAGGCCCATGACTAGGAGATGGAGAAGCTTTCAGCCGCTTAATCGGTTCTCCCCTCCAGTAACAGAGAGGGGCAGGAGCCTAATATCCCAAATGATCTGCTGCAAAAATCCTCAGACCCCACAGACAGGTGTGGGGAGAGATAGTCTCTCTTTTTTTGGACACTATTCCTTACTCTCCTAATTAAATCATGCCTGGGCATCTCAGAGAGGTGGGGAGAAGACTGATATTTTGCCAAATTGTTGGATGAAAGATATTGCTGCAGTGGGAGCTGTAGATTGGAGGAGGGGGTGGGTGGAATCTATATCTCTGCATATTTGATTTCTGATTTATTCTGATTTATTGTTATATTGGTTAATGTAGTCTACCTTCTCTTAAGAGATACAGATGTTATGTCATGCCTCCACGTCTAAGGGTTTACATAACTTCCACCACTGTGGGGGAGGAAATTTATTTTTTACATGTATCTTATATGGTGTTTTTATGTAGAGGTTTACAATAAAACTAAACCAGTGAAAGGGTTAAAATACTGGCTGATTTGGCAAGCTTCTTTTTTCTCTGTCTAATAGAGGTAATGTTAATTCCTTTTAAAATATCACCAGTATTATACTATTCTTGGGTCCTGCATATATGGCCAAGTTTATTACTGTAATTAAGTGGTTTTGGAGTAGAAAATGTGTATTGGGTGAGGGACCAAATGGAATTTGTATACAGATAGTCCTCGATTTACGACCACAATGGGACCCCAAAATTTCTGATGCTAAGTGAGACATTTGCTAAGTGAGTTTTGCCCCATTGTACAACTTTTCTTGCAACATTTGTTAGGTGAATTGGGGTAGTTAAGTTAGCAACATGGTTGTTAAGCGAATCTGGCTTTTCCATTAACTTTGCTTGTCAGCAGGTCGTAAAAAGGGGATCACCTGACCCGGGGATACTGCAACCGTCATAAATATGAGTCAGTTGCCAAGCCTCTGAATTTTGATCGCCTGACCCCTGGGACGCTGCGACCGTCATTCAGTTGTCAAACATTTGAATTTTGATCATATGACTACAGGGATGCAGCAACGGTCGTAACTGAAAAGTGGTCACAAGTCACATTTTTTTGCGTTGTTGTAACTTCCAACGGTCACTAAATGAACTGTTGTAAGTCGAGGACTTCCTGTATTGGTATATCACCGGGTCTGTTATTCAGAACAGGGAAAATGATCAGTTTTGGGTTCGTTCATTTCTCACATCTTAAATTTGTTTGGTCCTGCTTCTGCACTGATTTTCATTTTCTTTCTTAAAAAGCTACTACTCAAATTTAAACAAGTAATTCTTCTAACGTACGGCTTTTTGCATGCAATCTTGTTTGATAATATATATTTTTGCATGCAATTTCCCAAGAATGCCTCTTCCCCACGATTGCTGCCACAATATATGCTTTTCCCTCTCGTAGACATTTTTGTAAATACTATTTTATGGGAGAATAACAGGACTCCTTCTTCTTCTTGTGCCATATTGGCGATCATAACAGGACTCGGAATGGTACAAATGTTGAAGTATAGTCTGCCTTGTGTGGGAAGTATTGCATTAGCTATATTCACCAAACTAAGGTGGTATTTTTTTTTAGCTTGCTGAGACGATTTTTATAAAAAAGATATAGCGACTTTAAAATAAAATAAAACATAATGAAATAAGATTAGCAGGGTCAACTATATCCATAGTTACCTTCTCTGTAGCTAATTCCTTTTTTTTAATGGGCATATGTCTTTGAATATGGATAAAATGCAAAGCCTTAATTAGCAAAGCTTCCTACTTGATGGGGGGGGGTAGTGTGGGTAGGCGCTGTGGAGCACAGGCAGGTCTGCAGCGGCTACAGGTGACCCTGCAGGGGCTATGAGTGAGCCAGTCAGGACTGTGACTGAGTGGGTG